CCCAGAAATAGTGTGGATTGGGCGAAACCAGTTAAAAGTGTTTAGGAGTAGTTACAGTATCTGGTGCCTCAGGTATTTTGTTAGCTTCAGCTCCTGAGGTCCTCCAGCTTTGGCCATGGATCATTCACTATCCCTTTTGCCTCTTGCTGTTGGCAAGGGTAATTTGGGGTCCCCAGAACCCTGGCTTCACTATGACAGCAGCAGACTCAAGTATCATCTTTGAAATTCACTGCTAGCCTGGTAAGTACACCATCTTAGTCATTGGGCAGAGCTTGGGAAGACCCTGACTATGATGCTTTTGTAGTTTGTAGAGCAGTAATGAGCTAGGTCTATGCTCTCTTTCCACAGAGGAGCAGATCTGGAATGTCCAGATTTTACTAATGTATGTAATGCAGGGCCTCATATCCACAATGGCTCAACTTAAACTTGGGCTTTTTTGTATTTATAGTGATCTCCTAAATTTATAGTATGTTCTCCTATTTCCGTCCTCATGACAGGTAGTGACAAAGGTCCTGAGAATTCAGAGATATGTAATACTGTGCCTCAGCAGAGAAAGGCTTCTGAAACAACTGGTGAACTCCTGTGTATTATACAGATCAGTGCAAAATAATTTCTGATCATACTTAATGATTTAGGTGGCACCTCAACTCACAGACTAGGTTTGTGAGAACAGCCATAGAGTTTTGAAGTCTGAGAAAAATGAAGCAAATATGAAAGTGTTATCAAGGACAGGGTAAAAATTTGTGAAGGACAAAGTCCAGAAGGGGCTACCTGTTAAATTCTCATCGAAAAATTCCAAAATTTACGCATTTGCATGGACATATACATGTGATATCCTTCCGAATGTAAAGGAATAGGGGTGTCACCTCTGAATTAAGAGCTGATTTAGTAGCTTGGTTGTTAATAGACAGTTTAAATATGGAAATTCTCTACAATGGACTTATCTAAGTGGTGTAAATGAGAAGCCCTAAATAGAAGTTTTGCAGTGATATCGATAGGTAAGCATGAAGGGTTTTCTGTTTAGGATGGATCAGAGGATTGTGGAAGAGAAGTGGAAGTGACTGACAGGATGCAGGCAGCAAATAGCCGGACATGCAACAGAAAGGGTCTTCACTGAAAGTCAGGTAGTTTTTAGAGTAAGTATGAAGTAAATTTTGGTTCTGATTGCTTCATTGAAGTGATCAACACCAGCTCTGGCAACAAACAATCAGTATTCCACATCCCTGTCAATCCATAATTTTTGTGTTCTATACTTGAGATCTAATTTGATTATCTCTATTTATGCCCCAGTGTCATGAAGCTGAAATTTTCAATTTTTTGTACCAAGGATCAAACGCATGACCTATGCTTTCCAGGCAGGTGTTCATGCCACTGAGCTAAATACGCAACTATGAAAATGTTTTCTGTGTAGTATGGATGATATCCACATTGTTTCTGAGAAAGTGTTGAATATTGTTGGAATTTTTCTGTATTGTATGGCTATAATTTTTTTTAAAACAAACCAAAGTTGTCTTATGCAGTCTGTTTTTAAGTTTCACTTTGTCTGTTCGGTGTCTCAGTCAGGGTTTGTCTATTTTAGACAGCTCTGTAACTTAGGATAGCCCCAAATTCAAGGAAGAAATCCTTCACCAGCCTCCCAAGATATATTTCTTATATTTTAATTGAAAGTGATCACTTGGTGACAGTGAGGTATAATTTACAGCTTGGGCCTGGTTTCATTTTATATACATATTTTAAAAATACAGCTGTTTTCCACTAACACTTGAGTTATAATTTATATACCATATTTGATGTTATTTATGTTTTGTTCTATGAAACCAAATTCATGTTTCAAAATGCTGCTTAAGTATATTAAGAACAAAGTACTCATTGGCCTAAATGAGATTTGAACAGACATCATCTGTCTATCAAAGTGATTGCTGAGATTTTTTATTTAATTTTCAAATTGGTAAAATAGAACAGAACAAGGCAGCATAAGGTCAACTAAGATCACACAGTGAAATTGGTACACAACTTCACAACTGGTTACTGGGATAACAGTAATAGGTATCACAGTATATTTTGTTATCTTTGTCATAGTTGTTCTTTAATCACATACATCAAAATGAGATGAAATACAGAACATTATAGAACTTATCAAAACAGAATATTGAATTGAGCAGTACCATTAATCAGAATAGAGTGAAACAATAATAAAAACAATTTCCTTCAAATAGATAGTAGAAGGAAGTCCCCCTTATTTGCTATGGTCTACTTCCCAGGAGATGCTCAGATTTCTGGTTCCCATTTGCTAATGGGAGCGGGTAACAGGAGAAGAGGGGTAGGGAAGTGGGATGTTTGATTCTAGGTGGTGCATCAGTAGGTTCACTATTGCTTAGTAGGGAGACAGGCTGGTTGTTTGGTTTCACAGCGCCCTAAGTTCCAACATAGCATGGATATTAGGAGCTGCTGCTGGTTCTCCCCCTGGAAGGGCTGCAGTTTTCCAGACTGCCACTGCTGACCGGGGAGGGGAGGTGCTTGCTTGGCTTCCCAGGCAATTGATGAGACATTTATCTGCCTCTGTGCTTTGTGGTTGCTAGTCCTGCAGGCTTCTCACTGTGAGCTCTGCTTTAGAGAAAGTGCACAGGGAATCTTGCCATGACTGAGCACAAGAATGCTCCTATTTGGCTGTTATATTAGCAGTGAGTTGCAATCTAGCATCAAATTTGCTGTCTTCAAAAATATGTATAGACACAAAATTAACGACCACAACATGGATTTAAATTTGAACAAATCAGTCTTCATTCAGCTGTTTTGTTTGGCTTTATTTGTTGAGTTTAGTTTTGTTTTATTGAGACAAGCTTTCTGTATGTATATCAGCGGGATTTGAACACCCTATAGAGCTTAGAATTGCCGTGACCTCACTGATGCCTTCCTGTCCCGCCTTTTGAGTGCTGGGATTATAGATATGCACCACCACACTTTGCTTTTGATTCAGATTTGTAGGAGAGAATTTAAGATATCCCAAACCTGGGGTCTCAACCTTCGAGTGAGAAATATATGTATGATCCTTTAGGAGGCGGTGATCTTTGAGGATGTGGTTGTGAACTTCAGCAATGAGGAGTGGAGTTTGCTGAGTCCATCCCAAAAGAACCTCTACAGAGATGTGATGGGTGAAATCTTTAGGAACATGGCTGCAATAGGTAAGGATGAAATCTTTTTGGCACTCATGCTGTCAGAATATTGTTTGTTGCTCATTAGTGCTGTTTCGTTAAAAAGAATATGAAAATATTTTTAAAAATAGCTCAGACCTGGACACATTATATCATAAATCTAAACAAAATCTATTAATTTGTATGTATTACTCAACTGAGTCCTGGTATTTCTATGTCTACAATTCAGGAGGACTTGGGGATATCCAGGAAGCTGAAAAAGAATGCAAAATTTACTGGAGATACTTAAGGTAATTCACACTCACAAGGAGAAGAATGTTCCTGAGTAATTAGTGAGTCAGCAGAAAAATGACCACCAAAGAAATGAGGTACCATTTAATTTAATGTCAGTAATATTCTCCAAAGATGTATAAGCTAGTGTATATATGAGGGAATTAAATCCTAAAAATGTATGACATTGCATATAGATATGTAAAAAAGGCATACCCTTTGAGTTATGACATTCTGCCTTCAGTTTTTCTAACCATATATACATGTGAATACAACACATTCATTATCTAACAATTGCTAAGATTGCAATAGAATTTGAAATAAAACTGAGTGCTCATGTTTCCAAGCCATGCTCTAGACAATCAGCGATTCTGATTAATATTCTTAGTAGGCTGGTGGAATGTTAGTACACTCATTTTGAATATCAGTATGCAGGTGTCTCTAGAAATTGATCCCCTCATACTTGCCCTGGATACTTTTAAAATCTCAAAATCTGCATAAAATACTGTTACATGCTTACTCATATACAAAGCAGATCAAGTTATAACAGATCAGGCCTTGAAGCTTATCTATCTATCACTGGATTTGTGGAGAAGGAAAATGTTAATAGACTCTCTGTGATTGTGCATTATTGTAAACCAAGCACACTAGGAATCAGATTTTGCAGAATGGCAATTTCAAGATCAAACTTCACAGCTTAATGATCTATGAAAATCTCTTAAAATAGATTTTTAAAAAGTTATAGATTTATGCTAATACCTGTTGTTCATTCCCAGCCCAGAATGGAAAAAAATGTGTTATATAATGTCAAAAAATAATATAATGTCATTTGCCGTAAGAATTAGATGGGTCTTTCACCCATCAATTCAGTGAAATAGCTCAGCTATAAAACCTAAAAGGTCACTGGCTTTCTTTTAGATGAGAAACCAAAATACAAAATGTGGAAAGAAATGAAACAGAGTTGTTAGAGAAAAGTAAGACTGACCATACAGAATAGGGAACTACAGGTTAAGGACAGAAGAGAGATTGTGATGGGGAAACATATGAGAATAATCTGCATGTGATACACATATGTACCCATGCCCAAAGTGAAGCTAAAGATTCTGCATTTCAAAGTACCAACTTTTAAGATTTCCAAATGCGTACTAGTCTTTTGGGAATGGTTGTTTTCAACATATCTTACAAGGCCATTCTGTTGCTTTATGGTCAGAATTCCTTAGCAGGCGTTAAAAACAGAACTTGATTTTAATGCAGTCATTAAATGGAGACCAATTTCACTGTGAATTTTTCTTTTTTTAAATTTAATATAAGGAAAGATTAAATAAGACAAAATAAGTAGAAATAATACTGCTTTCAAAGTGAAAAAAAAGTAAGAAATCGCAAGATGATGATTACAAATGCTGATCATAGAAATAGTTATGAAATACAAAAGTGAAACATATGAAGTGGGGATTCAAACAGTGAGACTGCAAACAGTTTTGTTCAATTCTCCAAGAAAAGCTTAGTAATATGGTTATAAATCCTATATGTGATTTTTTTCTTTACAGAAATGACAAGCTAGGGAAATCTTATGGACATACATCTTGGAAGCAGTGTAAAGAAGTATTCCTTTGTACTGCAGAAGGTAATGTGAATGTGAAAGAAACAGAAACACATCACGATGTTCAGATCCATGAAAAATATTGTAGTGGAGGGAAACCCTACGTATGTAAGCAATGTGGGAAAGCTTTTAACACACGTGCAAATTGTAAGGTTCATGAAAGAATTCACACTGGAGAGAAACCCTATGTGTGTAAGCAATGTGGAAAAGGTTTCATCCAACCTGGAAATTGTAAGGAACATGAAAGAATTCACACTGGAGAGAAAAAATATATGTGTCCGCAATGTGGAAAAGTATTCACCAGATCTAAACATTGTAAGCAACATGAAAGAATTCATACTGGAGAGAAACCCTATGTATGTAAGCAATGTGGGAAAGCTTTTACCAGACCTGAATGTTGTAAGCAACATGAAAGTATTCACACTGGAGAGAAACCCTATGTATGTAAGCAATGTGGGAAAGCTTTTAACACACATGCAAGTTGTAAGGTTCATGAAAGAATTCACACTGGAGAGAAACTCTATGTATGTAAGCAATGTGGGAAAGCTTTTACCAGACCTGGACATTGTAAGGAACATGAAAGAATTCACACTGAAGAGAAAACATATGTATGTAAGCAATGTGGGAAAGCTTTTAAAACACAGGGAAATTGTAAGAATCATGAAAGAATTCACACTGGAGAGAAACCCTATGTATGTAAGGAATGTGGGAAAGCTTTTACCAGACCTGGACATTGTAAGGAACATGAAAGAATTCACACTGGAGAGAAACCCTATGTATGTAAGCAATGTGGGAAAGCTTTTACCAGACCTGGACATTGTAAGGAACATGAAAGAATTCACACTGGAGAGAAACCCTATGTATGTAAGCAATGTGGGAAAGCTTTTACCAGACCTAGATGTTGTAAGCAACATGAAAGAATTCACACTGGAGAGAAACCATATGTATGTAAGCAATGTGGGAAAGCTTTTAACACACGGGGAGATTGTAAGGTTCATGAAAGAATTCACACTGGAGAGAAACCATATGTGTGTAAGCAATGTGGGAAAGCTTTTAACACACGTGCACATTGTAAAGTTCATGAAAGAATTCACACTGGAGAGAAACCATATGTATGTAAGCAATGTAGGAAAGTTTTTAAAACACAGGGAGGTTGTAAGAAACATGAAAGTTCACATTCAATATAAATCCAGTATATATAGGCATCATGAGAATGGTTTCAGCACATGTACACATTGCATAATGCATGAAAATCTTCACACTGGGCAGAAAACTTACATATGTAAGGAATGTGGGAAAGGTTTCAGCAGAAATGCTCATTGTCCAATACATTATAAAATTTACATGGTTGAGAAACTCTGTGTGTATGTGAAGAATTTGGGAAAGCTTTCACCACACATGGATTTTGTAAAATACATCTATGACTTCACACTGGTGAGAAAGCCTATGTATATAACAATGTGGCAAAGTTTTTACTGCATATAGTCATTGCAAAACACATGAAAGATTTCACACTGGGAAGAAACACTGGCTACATAAGCAAGTGGAGACACTTTCAGCAGCCAGATTGTAAGTGAAATACATGAAAAAAAAACTCACACAAGAGATAAATCCTATGTGCTATGGGAATACTCTCAGCATACTTGATCATTGTTACATATCTGAAAGAGCTCACTGGGCAGAGATCCTATGTGGATTAACAATGTGAGAAATATAGCAATCCATGTTACTTATTAAATACATAGAAAAAGCATCACTGTTCAGACAGTTTAGATCTAAGTTTACTTTAAAAATCCCAAGGAGACCTGAAGAAATAATCAATACAGAAGTTAGATGTCAATATTTCTTCACAAATATTCCAGAAATGACAAATCTGAGGCGGGGCTCTCCTTAGGTGCACATGTTGTATGGTTTTCAGTTAAACACTTGTACCTCTCTAGATTTTTTAATCTAGATGTTTTTGTGCTTCAACATGGCATCTTGTAACTAAACATGCTAAACTGAAATGGGCTTTTCACTTTCAAGTATGGATAGTGCCTCCATACTTAATATTTTGTCTTTAAAACTTAAATTTTGTATTTTCTAGTGAATTGTAATGTTGTTTATTTAAAGAGGAAAAAAGTGTAGAAATAATACAGAATTTCAGAAAAATAAACAATAAAAAGTCACTAGTTGATTAGTATCATATTGTCATCTTAGAAGTAGTTGTTCAAGTTACAATTTTAAAGCATACAAAGTGATATTCAAATAATGACACTGTCATGGTTCACCTCAATGATCCACCAAAAAGTTATTAATATGCCTATCTGTCCTACACACTTTTTTTTCTTAAAGAGGGTAAGATTAAACATAGTGAAACAGAGCAAAACAGTTCATAAGGAAACAAGTTAAGGAAACACAGATTTCAAAGCAAGTCCACTGGAAATGTTCACTGTCTATCTTACTGTCTCTAGTTTTCTTCCAAATAGTTGTTCCCATCCTCACACACATTGAATATATACTGAATATTATAGAACTAATCAAATAATTACAGAATGATGCAAGCTTTTTTGATCTTCAGGACTGCTTTTGGGGAAGTCGATAATGACTACCATAATGTCTCTCATTGTCTTTGTAGTAGCTGTATTTATCTTTATGTATGCTGAAATTGAACATAAGAGACTAGACTAATGTCACTCTGAACAGTGAATAATAGTATCCTGAGAAGGAGAAAGGTGAGGAATTGCCTAAAAAAAGAATGCAGAGGACATAGTTAAAAGTGTGTCAGGATTTAAAAGCTACAATAATCTTGTTGCTCTGTTTAGTTTGGTTATATTTTGTTCTGGTCTGTCCACTCATATTAGATTTGAGGGCACAGAGAGATAACCGAAAAATAGCAGGTTATACCATGGTAATTATTGTTAATTTCGTATTAACTAAAACTGAATCCCTATATTACTTACATTGTCTTCTATGATTGATTTTCTTTGAATGTTTCAATGTTATTTGGCCTTGACTGATTTTATTCACATTTAGTATGCTTGCTGGTATCATGTTCAAGAGCAGAGGCTACTACTCTGAAGATGACAAGGTGTAAAAGATATCCATTGGTGGGCTGGGTATTTAGCTCAGTGGCTTAAGGCACCTGCCTGGCAATTGTGAGGCCATGAGTTTCATCTCCAGAGCCAAAAATAAATAAATAAATAAAAGATATCCATTCCAGGTTTGATTTTTTTTTTAATTAAAGAGAAGAAAGGAAATAAACAACAAAGCAGTACAAGGGTACAAGTAATACAGAATTTCAAGAAAAAATACAGTAAGAAATCACTAATTAATAGGTTACATATTGTCATTGCTAGGGTTATTTCCAAAAGATGAAAAATATTAACAAAAGATGCGAAATATAAAATAAAAAGCGGCCTTTATTCTGAGAACATGGAGAGAAACGACCGGCACCCCCACCGCTGGCGTCCAGCGATCTCTCAGGCCGACTCGTGGAGTGGGATGCTGTAAATAGCCTTGGTTTGGGGTGGAACCTAAGGCGGGCATTAGGGATACACAGGTAGCCCATTGGTCCTAGGTTTGGTGCCATATGTAAATTTCCAGGGGCGGGAAGATGGCCTCACAGGTAACTTCCTAGGGGCAGGGGAGATGGGGCTTCCTGCTTCTGGTTGTGGCTTTCCTGGCTACAGTGTCCTATCTGGGCCAAAATCCTTTAAGTCATCTTAGAAACAGTTGTCCAAATTATAAAATTAAAGCATATAAAGTGGACATTCATACAGTGAGATTGCAGAAAGTTATGTTCAGTGATCCAACAAAAGCTCAGTAATATGATTTTCCATCCTACACATGCAAGCACGCAGTTATATCCCTTAGACCACCTTCCTTTCCTCTCTTTTTTACAATAACAGTTACACGTTTTGAGTTTTTTACTCCCACAGTTCTTATTACATTTTTTAAAGAGAATAAATCCTAACATGACTACATAAAACAGAGACAGTTAGAACAGAAGGATGGGCATAGTACATGATGCAAAAATAGAATATTAGATGATCAAAAATGGTTACCCTTGTGCCTCTTGCTATTTTTAAAAAGAGTTGCTATATCATCAGGTATAATAGAATTGATCAAAACAGTACAGAACAAGACCAATAAAACCTACACTGGAAACCTTGCAAGACTTCCAAAGAAGATAATAGTCAAACTATAATGGGCATCATAATAAATCTTATTGCCTTCAAAGTGGTTGTCTATACCCTCAAACTTGATACTATCAAACAAAATAGAATATAGTAAAATCAGACAGAACAAGATGTGGAGAGCAATACTGGGGTTCAAATCAGGTTAATAGGAAAACAAATATTTACTATAATATATCCCGCTATTTTTAAATTTAGTTTTCCCTTAGTTGAAAAAAATAAAAAAGTTTAATTTAAAAAAAGGGTGTAGATTGAGATAAAAGAGGACATTGTAATAGAACAACACTGGTCAGAATGGAAAAATTTAAGCATAATTGGGTTTCAATCCCAGATAATCTAACATAATAGTAGTCACCATAGTGCCTCATTCCTTGAATTATTTGAGTATAACTTCATATACCATAGCATCAAGCATATCAAGACAGTGTGAAGCCATTCAACAGAATGAAAGAATTACAGGGTATTTAGAACCAGTTAACAGAAAACGAACAATGGTTTCTATATTATCTACTTGCCTATAAAAATTTTTCTTTATACTATCACATATAGTAAAATATAGTAAGATACAACATGTTAAAACCAGTGGGAACAGATAGTTTGTTAGAGAGGGACCATTTTTGCACCACTGAGATTGAGCCCAGTGTTGATCAAGTTGGTTAATTTTGAATATGTTGGTGAGTTAACATTGCAAACATTTAGCTGAACACTTTTGTTTATGTTTGCTTGGAATATTAACCAACAGAGTGTTTTCTTTTATATTATTTTTAACACATTATTGTCTGGCTTCATTCTCAGGATAACTTTAACTTTGTCACTTAAAAGAAGTTGGTGGTGGGTTTTCCTTCAACTTGATCAAAGAATTGAAAAACAATCAGTATTTATTCTTTATTATATACTGGATAAAATTCACCAGTGCACTTTTTGTATTCCAGCTTTGTTGTTGTTATTAAGAAGCTGTGATTTTTACCCATTGCCTGTGCTCCTTATTGCTCTGTTCATCAGACTATTTCCTTCTGATGCATGTGGTTTGGGGACATCAATGGACCCCACATATCCATTAAGGATCACATCTCATTTTACTTACAGATGCTACCATTTATTTTGTATCTTCAAACTATCTCTATAATATATAATTTTGTGAGTAACTCCTTTCAGTTACTCAGATTTAATGCACACACTTGCAGGGTTTGGTTATTGCTGGAGGAAACTGGGCATGGTGAGGGCCTGATCTCTAATTTAAGGCTTCATACCCTGACCTGCCTGCAGTGTCCCCATCTCCTGACCTGCTCCCTGTAAACACCTGTCCTGCTCCATAACTACGGTGAGTCCACATGTGGCAGTTCAAATCTGCACCTGGGTGGAAAACATTCAGTCAAGTTGGGCTCTGTAACAGACTGACCTCATACAGAGCTCCCCTGAGTGAGAGAGGGGGCCTCAGGCATGTAGGGAGGAGCTCTGGAACCATTCCAGCTCTCTCATCTGCAGCATACAATGTGTGATGCTTTCCTGAGAACTTACTGATGGATGAGGAGGTCTGGACCAGGCCTTTTTTAGCCTTGATGTCCTACACCTCTGCCTGGACCATCTCTCTGACTTTAGATCTCCACATAGATCTGAGCAGACTCAGTCTTCCTCTACCAGGCTCTAACTCTATGCTGAGGTTTCAGGTGAAAAATCTGAGACCCTCGAATTAATCTTATATATATTTAACCAGGAAATTCCACTTCTAAGAGTCATTATAAAAATGAGATTGACAGACACTGTATTCTCTGCTTAATCAGTTAAGATGTGGACTGTTGGAAACCATGAATCTTCCACAGCACAGCTGCTGAGTTAATTATAAATTACAGCCACTGGAAATGCTGAAAGAAGGCTATGTCCTAGGCCATGTCCCTTATCTTTCCTGAGATTGAAGAGAGCTTGTGTCCTGGCTCTCCACCCAGCAGTGAAGAGACACCGGCCTGCACAGCAGGTGAGGACAGGAGAGAGGAGCTGGTCAATGGCAGACCTCTCATCCTGGGAGGGATG